GGGGGGGGGGGGGGGGGGGGGGGGGGGGGGGGGGGGGGGGTGTGGGGGGTGCTGTATGCCGACGTCGCCGGTGTTATATCGAGATCTGCCGACGGACTGGCGAGAATGATGGCCGTCGTCGTGGAGGTGTTTGGGGAGTTCGGGGTGGCGGTATCGGATAATGAAAGCGGAGACGCTCATGATGCGAGTCAAGGAGAGGCAGCCAACGCCACCGCTCCTCCCGCCGCCACCTGCAATTCATCGAGACAGCAGGGCAGAGATACGGCCATACGGCTGAGTTTCGGGGCTTCGGTGGCCTCGTCAACGACCATGACGACCTCACCTGGGAGATCAATTACCGGAGCAGAACATCGTGGGCGTGTGTCAGGAGATTATATGGCCGGGACCTCTTCGACAGGCCGACAGCACCGTTCCGCCTCAAGAAGACTCGCCTGCCCCAAGCGGAGGTGATGGAGGCACTGCTGTACGGCTGTATGACATGGTCCCCACGTCGCGAGCGCTACCGGCTGTTGCGGTCGATACATCGCCGGCTGCTCCTGCGAGTTTCCTGTTCCCAACGCAAGAAGGGCACCTACCGGGAGCTTTCCTACGTACAGACCCTGAAGAGGGTAATATGCCAAAGCGAAGGAGCCACTGTTCGACAACTGCGCCTACTGTTCGCGAGAGCATTGGCAAGGCAGGCAGACGGGCGACTCCCGAAACGGTTGATGCTTGGCGAGCTGGTGGGGGGGGAGGGACCAGCCAGGGGGAAACCGGAAAACAACTGGCAGATGTGCCTGAAGGACAACCTCAAGATGTTCGAGGCAAAGCACGGATCTATGGATGCCGAGCCATATGTCTTCGGAGTCCCGGAAACAACTTGGACAGAACCGGTGAAGGTGGAGCGGGGTATATCATGGCATACGGGGGTACTGCAGGGAGCTAAGAGGTTCATGAACTCCTGGAATAAGGATGAAGAGGAAGCAAGCCGGCAACGAGCGCTCAAACGAAACAAGGCCGGCAATAGCACGGACATAACAACAACCAGTGGGGCGGGAGGGGTGCAGCAGGCGGACGCGACGGCGAGGGAAGAAAGCAAACGAGAAGAGGCGGATCGAGTGGAGCGACATGTTGTCCCAGATTGAACCCTTCATTGACTAAATACCGCGTCAAATTCAGGACCGGGGACATTGGCCTTAGAGAACGTAGACCAGGACTTCGGAAGGTAGACGATGAAGACAACAAGTTCAAATGTGATTGCGGCTCCAAGTGCGAAGACCGGGTTCATGTAGTTGCAGGGTGGTCGTTGTACAAGGAAGGAGAGGGAAGTGCACGTGACTGAGCTGGGCAAAATAGAAGGTACAAGGTGATGTTTGAGGAATGGAGTAGCGAGGAAACGACGGTAGCTGTACTGGGGTATAGGAAGTTGGTTGGAAAGGCGGGAAGTGATATCGATACGAGAAAAACTAGGAGAGACATTTTTGAGCCAACTTTGGCAAAGCAGGAAGGAGCGATTGGTCATCGGTGATCGGTGCTGTGGGAACAATGCTCAGTCTTCTCGAGGACGCGTGGTCAATGGTCTAACCGCTAAGGCGTGCAACACGAAAGAGTAACCCCCCCCCCCGTCACGGAGCAAAGGAGATGATCGCACCACGTGGTGTTGGATCGGTCAAGCACCCTCGAAGCAGTTGCACAGTGCTAATAACTGTCTCTGGAAGCGAAAGCACCAGAGAATCAATTCCGTCATACGAAGCTGTCATCCGTACGCAAGGAAGTAAGCACGATATGTCCAACACCCTCAGCGGGATGCATTGCACCCTCCATGCGACTCGCCAGATACCTCACGGTGCTTTGCGCTTGGTGATGTGAGAGCCTGGTCCGGTGAGAACTCGGCGTGCTCCGTCGCGGCTTTCTAGGGATGCGAGGTCAATGACCTGACGACTACGGCATGCACGACTTTGAGTACCCCCCCCTCCCCGTCACTGCACCATTGCACCAACCCTTCACGAGCGATGGCATGCCCGTGCTGTCTCGGGTTGCCCTTCTTTTTTTTTTTTGTTGTATTGTATGTTTGTTTACCGCCACGGTAGTGGCTTTGGCGTGTTATTCTCGTTGTCGTCCGCTCTTTTCCTCCCGCCGCTTCCTTTCTCTTTTCTTTTTCTTGTTTCTTTTCTTCCAGTCTACGGTTACCTCGCATAGCGTGTAGAAGCGAGCGGAGGGTTCTGGACTCTCTGTCTTTGATTTCTACTGACTTTCGGACTCTTCAGGTCCATTTTCTTGTCGTATTGCTCTTTTGGGTAAGTTGGCGTGTGACCACGGGAATCGACCGCGTCAAGTGATACAATAGTACGGACAGAGGAAGGTACTGGGTAGGGAGATCAGATTTTTCTTTTAATGTGAAGACAACAACACAACAAGCAGTCTAGTCATTGATGATCCGGAGTGGCTCAACTCCAGTTCGCAGGTGTCTTTCCTGAATTGAAACTGGCTGTGTCGCCAAAATCAACTCCGTGCAGGTAAGTGAGCAATGGCTTCGAAGGACCGTGACGCGCTGGTTGCCCTGTTTTGTTCGACCGGCGGGGCTGGATGGACCCGACGAGACAACTGGAACACAGATGCTGACCGGGCGACATGGTTTGGAGTCAAAGTGAATGACCAGGGCCGAGTGGTCGACGTTGACCTGGGTTCCAACAACCTCCAAGGTGTTGTTGTTCAACATTTGCTGCTTGCACGTGCTTTCGTCTGGAGATGCATGTGCTTGACCACCCCTCGGATTCGTGGAGTAAGATGCTTGATCACACTTGCGGCTTCTAAAACACGTGTCCTGCAAAATTACTTACGGAGAGCAACTCACCGCTGAGCAGGTTTCCTTCAAGGAAGAGGTGCGTACTGCTGCGAGGTTTCCCAGCTCCAACGGGATCGGGCCTGCAAGCAGAAGCAGAAGAGCAATGCGAACTCAGCGGGGTATATACACGATACCTCGGCTGGCTTTTTTCTCCGTCATCGATGTCTGTAGATCCTGTCCGGCCCACGCGTTGGCAGGATCACTGTTCTAGAGACTTCATCATTTTTTTTTTCTGATTTTGATTTCCCCTCAGTGCCGCTTTTCCGTTGTTCAGGGCCAATACCCAAGGAGCTGGGCGCTCTAGCCAAGCTGGCGTCCTTGTGTCTTCGCTGCAACAAGCTCACTGGTGAGAATGCCCCAAACGGAATGTTTACGTTGTTCTGTAGAGTACATGATACTTTTGTGTCCTGCCACCACGTTAGCGGGAGAGCATCTACGGAGACCGTGTTGTTCTAGAACAATACCATTGGAGGTTCAGTTGTTCTCGATTTGTTCTCACCTGTCAGCTCATTGATCCCCAGGTCGAGCGTTTTCAGGGCACCAAGGTTCCCCAGCTCAGGGGGAATATGACCTGCAGCGTACCCAAAAGTCAAACATTTGAGATTTCAGAACGTGTGTCCCTCGGCTTCTAGAACATGTACAGTATCGTTCTCCGTAGATTGTCTCTCGCCCGCGCTTAGGCGGGGCGCGTGTTTTAGAAGCGCGCTGTGTCATCAATTTTGAGCTGGATTGAAGTTATCAATGACGCTCGTTCCTTGCCGTATTCACAACAGGTGGTATTCCGGAGGACCTGGGAAACCTCACAGCTCTGACGAAGCTGTGGCTAACGAAAACAGCCTGGAAGGTATGTACGTAGCACTGCAGTCATTGTTTCCACAGAGAAATGCTGAATCCCATCCACGCGTTGACAGGATGTTTCTTCGAAAAACTGATTATCTTTCTTTGTTTTTTCGCCGCTGTTCTGCGTTGTAAAGGGCCAATTCCCAACGAGCTGGGAGCCCTCTCCAAGCTGACGGAGCTTGATCTGCAATACAACCAGCTTTCAGGTGTGTGATAGGGGCGAGAACTACCGTATGCTTTCTTCCGATCTATGGGACTACTGCTTGTAGAACATGTGTCCTGCCAATGGGTTGGAAAGACACATGTCCCAGAAGCTTCGGACTCCCCTCATCGATTTTCGTATTCCCGCTGCTATGCTACTTACGCAGGACACATCCCCAAGGAGCTAGGAGCTCTAAGTCAGCTGGAGAGGCTTTTGCTATTCGGTAATCAGCTCACTGGTGAGGAGGGTGTCAGCGTGTTTTTTTCTATTGTCGGTTTTCCAAGATATGACGGGATTTCTAGACCTTTGGTCCTGCGAACGCGTACGCACGTGCGCGGGATTCATGCATGTTGAGAACTCAAAAGAAAAGGGAAACTTTCGATCTGTTCAACTCACCATCTAAAGTGTTGCTGGAGAGGTTGAGATCTTTGAGGGCGCCAAGATCTCCCAGCTGCGGCGGGATGTGGCCTGAAGATGAACAAGTGAAAGCAGGGTAATTTAGCGGGGAAAAGCAACCATGATCCTCCCAGTTCTAGAACGTCGGTCCACCTACTACGCGTTGGTGGAATAGATGCTACGGAGGTCGCACAGCTAGAAAAGCTCGTGTGAATGCCGCATGCCCAATTTATCGGGGATACTCATCGCTGAGCCCGTTTTGCCGGAGGCTAAGTGTTAACAGTTGAGAGCAGCGGGCGTACAAAAAATGCATTTATGTTGGTTCAATAATTCCGTCTAGAACATCGGTCCTGCTGACGCGTAGGCGGGACAATGTCCTAGAAGCTTTGGACTCCCCTCGTTGATTTTCGTATTCCCGCTGCTATGCTACTTACGCAGGACACATCCCCAACGAGCTAGGAGCTCTAAGTCAGCTGGAAACTCTTTGGTTATTCGATAATCAGCTCACCGGTGAGGAGTGTGTCAACGTCATTTTTTCTATTGTCGGTTTCCAAAGGTTTGACGGATTCCATTGCAAAAGGGCGAGAAGTTACTACTCCCACCACGATGATGTCACGAGCGCGGCTGACGCTGCAGAGGGCGCCGTTCGGCCTCTCTCTTAGCGGAGCCAGCGGGACGCCCTCTCTGCGCAAGACGCGGCCGCCGAGGGCTCCGGGCACCGAGTACCGGACGAGCTGCCCGCGCCGTCGAAACCGCTCCAACCCACGTGCTCGCACCTGCATCTGCATGACTGACCTCTTCGGACGGGACTGTCAAGAAATAGTCATGAGCGGAAGTTTAGATCGATTCTTTTATAGGAACTTGAAGTAATCACAGAACTCGGAACTCTGAAAATGGCTAGCTAAACAAGCAAACACACATGTCTAAGCTAGTGTACTTAGTTCGAATTGGTACATAATCACCGCTACACCACCGTGTAACACGGCTACCTTGCGTGCGTGCGACCGAAAGTAAGCAAAGATCTCTCCCAAAAATGTGAAATACTTTGCCGGATGTTCCGAGAACAAATTGAGCCTCTCGGAACTCGGAACACCCCTTTTTCTTGTGCGATGTTTCTGGGGGAAAACGCTTATGTGTGTTCGAAACATCACAGCAGTTGTAAGCATCATTATTACTTTGACTAGAAGCGCGTGGTTCAAATAATCCATATTTCTAGCGGCCCGCTCACGCTCACAGGCCAACGTTCCACACATGGGATAGATCATGATCTAGATGATCTGTGGTCTATAGATCAAGCGTTGGAAATATCATTGATGATCTGTGGAGGTATTGATCAAGAGCACGCAGGTATCACCGATGATCCATGAATTATAGACCAAGAGCAGCAGACATGTTCGGATCTTTGTCTATAGGCTAAGAGTTGGATCACAGATGATGTTTGGATAATAGATCAAACAGAGCGGCAAAAATGTTGGGATCAATCTGTCTACAAGAATCGGAAACACGGACAGATCGATTTGTAGCGATAGATTTTGGTGATCTCCGACCGAAATGATCTAGACCGGTCCAATAAAGGGATTTGATCTATCCTATGTGTGCAACGTTCCGATTTTTAGGAGTTTAGGAGTCCGCCATTTCTCCCATCCGTTTCACTTGGATTCAGATTCGGTTCTTTCCGGTTTCCTTTCCGGGATGTCTTTGCGGTGTGATACCAATTCCGGTTTCCCGATCACAGGCTCGCTCGACAGCCGCTCCCCTGGCTGCCGCTCTAACGCTCACTTCGTGTTTGTTCCGTTGGGGTGATTAGACGCTGTGCTTTTTCAGTGCATATTGATGTGGCTACATTGTGGGTATGGTTTTCATTTTTTCCAGGGTGTGGCGTGCTGTAGCATCCACATCGACCGGCAAGAGGTACACTTACTTCGAAGGCATGCATACATACCTAGTAGTCGACAGTGGTGTTGTAGTGCCTGGATTAGTGCATGTAGTCTGGTCTTTCCAGCATCACGCAGCACGCTGTGGGTGCTCTGAGTGTAGTATTCCTTTTCAACGGATGGATCCAGAAACTCCACGCTTTCTTGTTTCCTCTGCTGCAGCTTGCCGAAGTCTGGCGACAACTGTCTGTCTATGTCTCTCTCTCTCTCTCTCTCTCTCTCTCTCTCTCTCTCTCTCTCTCTCTCCCTCTCTGTCTCTGTCTCTGTCTCTCTCCCTCCCTCCCTCCCTCGCTATCAAACACTCCTTCCGTCTCGCTCTCTGTCTCGTGCAATCGGTGCCACCAACGCCCGCCTGCCCGCCAACAACGAAACAATAGAGAAACTCCACAGCAAGCGGTTTGCATGCGTCCAGTGCGTGGACTCCGTGCTCGCTTTTTGGTTCTCGCGATAGGATATTCGCTGTTGCCCACTTTTTTTCTCCGCACACCGCACCCCGCGCTGTGCACTCCGTACCTTGGCGTTCTTTTTTACGGCCGGCCGTGTTGTCAAGTAGAGCGTAGTGCTGCCGTACCCCACACTAGCGAACACCCATCGTCGCGTAGGGGGTGTGCCACGTTCCTTTGTATATGCGAATAGCAGGGATGAAGTACTAGTATGTGGTATCTCATGTTACACGACATGGATGGGTGTTACGACTTGAAAGTTGTTTTTTATTTCAATGGGGGGCCATCCAACGTGAGCATTCATCATTATTTTGGTTCCACGAGTGTGTTTATTTCTCCGGGCTTTGTCATCTATCGGCACCTTCCGCCCCAACACGAACGCTTGCCTCCCACCAACTACCCCTTCCACGCCGAGAGTTGTGTTCCGCAGGTGCTGTACGAAACAGGCCAAATATAGATAGATACTTGAAGGGAGGGGCTACATGAGCCGCGGGGTACGACTCAATAGCTGACAGCAGTGGTCTATCTGCGATGCTGTGTAAGATGCCAGACAGGCTGCTTCCAGGCAGCAACCCAGCAACCCAGATCGCGAAATTGCGGGATATGTGTTCAAACGGATCTTCCGAGATTGGTGCTTCCGCTCCTGCTAGAAGTTTGATATCATTCCGCATCAACGGCGGAGGAACACAAACACAGCGCCCTCTGCTGCAGCAATACCGCCAAACGATCGGCACCTATGTAACAGACTGACAGCGACATGCACGGTGGTGGCTGACACGAATGCACCAGTGCTGCTGCTACTGCTGTCATGGCAGTGACACCCATCTATGTTATTTCACCCATCATGTATGTTGAGATTTTGTTTGGGTCGAAACGCTGACGGGACAGATGGAAAAGAAAGGTAGCGCCTCATCACAAAGTTGCCTCACATTCGTTTCCGTTCTAAAATCCTAAATTACCAATTGGGAGGTACGGGTGTAATCCATAGTCCATACGTGCTTGCGCTTGTTTCCTAGATGGTTTGAGCAGGCCGTACAGGCGCTTATTATACACTAGGTGGCACAATATCATTAGCGCACATCAAGCAGCATTATTTTTTTGGGAGGTGACTGTATTGTTCTTTGTAGGAGTCATTAGCGAGCAACAGCAATGCAGCTGCAGCCGCCCCAGCTATAATAGCTGTGTAACTCTGTGTCAAGCACTTATGAAGTATCCTCGCTGTCGGTCGTGCTCTCCAACGCTCTTTTTGTTCGGGAAACACGCCACACACAACGAAATATATTGTTATGTCGACAATTCCAGCATCCCGGCGTCAGTTCCCTTCGTCCATTCGTTCATCTGTCTTGTGACTCGCTTCACTTAGCGTGGCGGCGTAAGCCGCAAAAACCCTTGTGGTACTACATCTGCTGTTTGACACCCACACAGCCATAGCTATAGGCATTATTTAAACGCTGGCATACATAGTCGCGATGGCGTGTTAATTGTGCGCCGGGCTTCAACGTTTCGCGCAAAGTTCAAAGAGCATTGCACCTACGACAACAGGACGCCAGCGCTTCCTTCCGACTTCGAAGATTCATCTTAGTTCTTTTCTGCTTCACACCACGTCAATCACTGTCCGTCCCCCCTTGCTGCGTTTGAAGTCTGCAACTGCTACCTCACATTTTTCAGTTTCGTGTGCACATCCACTCTCAAACGGAGGACGGGGGGGGCGGGAGCCCCCAGTGTCCGCCCCCCTTGTAACCAATACTATCTTCGCATGGTGCGTGGTGGGCTTACGGATATTAGCCCTTCGCTATGGTCGAAAAGGCGATCATACATTCTTCTGAACTAGTGCGCTGTCTCTTTCCCGCGGATGTCGACGACCTTCCTTGACAACACCCCTACGTGTGCTGCCTCGGCGTGCTCTGGCTCCGCGACTCTATGCGACTGCCTGCGTCTTCTTCTGCTTGGCCTCTTCGGTTCGCGTGAAAGCTCTCTGGGACCACACACAAAATGTTCAAGATGTCGACCACGAAGAGGGAAGTCACAGCATGTCAGGTACACACCTTCGTTCAGCAACGTATGGAAAGCCTCAACACAGTCATTGTCTGCGGCGAGTGGACCTAGCGGTAGTAGGCGTGGGTTGGTAAACCCCAGTGGCATACGAGCGTACTGATGCCGGTTGTCCTCGATGCCAGCGGCAGAGCCAGATTGGACTACTCAGCTTGTTGCACCTCGTGTGGTGTACCTTGCTAGGAATGACTGTTCGGGTTGAAAGGCAGGCGCAGCCACCTTGTGGGTTTTGGTGGTACCCATGAAGTGCCTGAGTCATCGCGCATCTTCTTGTAGCAACCTGTGACACAATAACTACGGTTGGGTATTGGTAATACTGTAGCCCTGCAGCGTGATCCATATCTCATGGCTGCACTTTCTCGTTCAGTAACATCTCAAGGTGGTCGTCCATCGTGCACCTACCGCACGGGAAACCTGAATAGGTTTGCGCGGGAGCTGCGATCATGCCAGACCGTAGCGTATTGCTGGCGTCTCTACCCTCTGACCTCGCGATCATTGGTGGCTCGAGCGATGATAATCGTCTTACCAAAGTTTGCATGCTCTACATTGCTCGCTAGGTGGACAAATGCCCAGCCAGCTGTGCCGGTTGCTTGACTTGCTCGATAGTGTTTGAGCGGAGGGACGGGCGGAACCGTTTCTGGGTCACAATCTCAGCCTCAATCCCAACCCATGGGCTGAACCACCCGAGTCGATCGTGGCCAAAGGTCCGAAGAGTATCAGACGGTATTTCGAAGACCTGTACGCTGAACACTGCCGGATTGGTCGCCGCAGCGTCAAGCTTGTTCTTGTCGGGCAGGAAGGAGCAGGGAAAATGAGGTCGGTGATGTGATGGACCTGCTGTTGGCCGCTACTGCACTTGCACCAAAAACTGGTTTGCTTCAATCGTGTCATACGCAGTTCGATCAACCACAATTGTTTATTGGTTGTTTTCGCCATCAATCGTCTTGCTTATTCACCACGAGCGGCAGCAACATGCCGTTTTATGAACCCTCCTTGCGCGGTCTAATTGTTTTTGGTCTTGTACCGAACCTGTGCGCGAGTGATCGCACACCCTCTGCCGACCAGCATAGCTCGCTCGCTCCAAAGTCGAAACCTGCCGAGAGATCTAAGGACGTTTCCTCGAAAAGATCTTCGGAACCTCTCGTCTCGGCACTGGTGCTCCCTTAATGGTGACGAAATCGAGCTACGACAATCGGTCTACGGTAGGGTGGGATGCGAACACTCGCACAATCACGGTATTCATATTCCACTTGTTGGTGCCCAAATGAGGGGGTTGAATGTCACGATGTAAACGTATGGTTGTGAGAGTACAAGACCATATCTACTATTCCTCCCGCGCATCAGCATGTAGACTGCCGTCAACCAACCTCGCCGAGTTCAACCTCGTTGCGCCCAAACGACCATGTTCCTACATCTCGTCATTTATGCTGCATATTTGTTAAAAACTTGTCTCTTATGTGTGACAGCTTGCGCCGAAGCATGAAGGCCAATAAAGCAACTCCCACGGGCGAGTGGAAGGAGGAGAGCACGGTGTTTGCCGACGTGGAGACCATGGAGCTAGAAGGCTCATCTGTAAGGGTGTACGACTGCGCTGGACAGGTGACGTGTTGTTCATGCTGAAGCGTGTTGTGATGGTTGATTCGCGGAGGCGTTGGTTGGGACTGTCGCGCAGGAGAACTCGCTGTCTGCCCTATGTGCGAGTGATGACTACGTGCAGCACTAACTCCCAGACAGAACGATATTGTGCACTTACAATACAATCAGGCTTGTCCGCCCCAGTGATTGTCTCACGCGATATTTACGTACTTGACATATTGTATCCCTCACTAAAGGACTTCTTTCACCACAGTCCTGTGACATGTATCACCCGGGTGCACTTTAGCAAAGGCGTAGCGTCTTGAGGGGTCACGGGGCGGCACTGAACGTTATACTCATCTCGGCGCGTTCGCCGAGTTCGTTTATGGATCAGGCCTCAATCGGGGGAAAACTTGACAACAGCCGACATCGTTTGGGTGGGGTGTCTGGCCGGCTCTGAATCATTCCATCGAACCTCGCGCCTTTCGAAGCGCATCCTCGCGAGCCTCCTTCAGCCAGCAAGAACCCTCCGCTTATTTTCTTGATGGTTCCGTCGCCCTGCTACAATTGGTTCGTCGTGTTGGAGATTGAGGCCACGAAGTAGACAACCCTGATCTGGCGTTACCACTGGACAATTGGCACGAAGATGTTGTTGCGCTAGGGGGTACACTCCCTAAGTTTGTTTTTCTATGATTAGTCTGTGAACTACGTAGTCTAGGTGCCAATGAGTATTTGCCACAGTATGTCCACACTTTCCGTACAGAAGACTTGAGTACTCTTGCCACTTGAGTGTGCAGGAATTGAGATAGTGCTTCGCAAACGACCACACTCTAACTATTTGCTGTAGTGCGCCGAATGCAGGCTCCCCTCCTCGCCCTAGGGTGGTTTTGTGAGGTTCATATATATCTGGAGTAGTGCATTCTTGCTTCTCGATTCGGAGGTTGCTCCGGTCTCGGAGGGCCTAGAGTAGTTCCATGAGGAAACTGTGCTTGAATTCGGGAGAGGTACACTCCGCACGGACGAGAGGCCACATGCTCGAAGCTCACATTGCTCTTCCTCGACAGGTTGCCTACACGGGGCTGCTGCAGATGTTCTTGACGCCACGGTCGGTGTGCGTGCTTGTGTGCAACGCGGGGGAGTTCGAACAGCGGCTACGTAGCGACAACATTGACCAGGTTGAAGAAGATTGCCGCAAGCTGGAAGGATTGCGCGTATGCGATTGGCTGCGGTCGATATCTCGTCGCGTTCCCGGCAACGACGTCATTCTCGTCGCTACCAAGTGTGACTTGGTGAGCGGGAACGTTGAGGAAACTGGCCGAAGGATGGAGCATGCCTGTCAGACTTGGCTTTCGAGCTGGGTTCGCGATGGTATGGACGCCGTCCGGCTGGAGCGACACGTTTCCCTCACGAGTTGCTTCCCGATAGTAGTTGGTGAGCATGGCGAGAGTAGCCCTGGGAATCATGCGTCAAAGCAGGGTTGGGCGTGCGACTGGCGACGTGGAAGGAGGTAAAAACAAACCTTGCCCACTTTGCTTCGCCGGCTCGTCAACAAGCCTGGTAAAGGTGGGCTCCGAGGCGTCCAGATGGTGCTTCCTCGCAGCTGGGATTTCGCCCTCACTTTCCTGGATTCTATCGAGCATGGGCGGTGAGCTTGATCATGGTGTTGCGCATGGGCTCAACAACGACTTTGGATACCTTCGTATGTCGAAGCCCGGGCGGGGTGTGAACAGTTTGCCAACGTTTTGGGTGGGGTTGAATCCCCACTAGGTTGAAAGCCCGCGCTGACATGTATTCAGTACGTCCTCTTCGGCGTTGGTCATGGTGACGAAACGTAGTCCCATGGCCCCATGCCCCGTCCATTTCACGTTGTTGATTCTTGGGCCTACATGTCCATATTTTTTTCCCGCGTGGCCTTCCTTCGGAACTTTGATACGTTGGATTTTGCCGTACTTGCACTCATATCCCGAAAGATGCAGTCATGGATGCAGTTCTCGAACCCCGGCGTGCCACGAGTGCCGACGAGATGCGCAGTCCGGCGATATGAAAGCTTTTGAACCTATTATTTTGTTCCCGCTGCTTCAGAGATTCGGTGGAGATGGTAATGCTCAAGTCCCCCGACAGTGACAGCGGTGCAAAGGCAACAGCAGTTGGCAAGACAACCATGTATCAGGGGATCACGGTTGAGGAACTCAGCGCCAAATGGCAGGGAACAGTTGATGATCTTGGGAGGAGAGGGATCATGTTCACAAACGCCAAGAATGCTTTGGAAGGAGCTCTCTCGATCAGGTAAATGAATCAAATTGACGTGTCGACATGGCGACCTCCTTTTTCACCACCCTCTAGAGCCTACTCTGGTCAATGCTAGGTATAGCATGGCTGCAGTTCGGTGTACAGGTTCGCTTACCAAGCTTATACACCTACGTCTCGGGTTTTTTGTTGGTCCTGTCGGAAAGAACGATGCAACGATGCTTCCCTCGAAAATTCGCATGGGTTTGGACCTATGATTCCTCCTGGGCGGATTTTCCAACTCTAACATTTGACTTCACAACGTTGTCCACGCAGGGAGTTCGACGGATCCCTCGTTTGCCACGAGAAATTTGTCTTTCTGGAAGTCGTTTGGCTGGCGAGAATCCTCAAGCCCTTACTCAACCACAAGGACCAAGGAGCCTTTGACGGCCGTGTGAAGCTCGGGGACACGGGCGACACGCGTATCACTCGACGATCCTTCAGACATGACTTCGTGGGACAGGCTCAAGAACGAGGGCGTGCTTGAACCCAGGTTGGCGTGTGGCCGGATTGTCTGTCCGAGTATGTGCGGCCTACTCTCGCATCCTTAGGTCTCATTTTTCCACTCGAAAACGATCCTGCTGAGGGCCTGGTAGTTCTGTTGAGGCTAAAGCCACACCGCCCCGAGAGTGTGGGCAAAGTGATCGATACCTTCTGCTCGGGGCTCACCCCGGCATTCCGCGCGAGTTGGAAGATCTTCCTCCGTGTACCGCCTGGTGCGGCCGAAAGGTGTTGACACGGTGCTGCGCTCTTGGGGGTGTGCAAACATTCTGGCGATATGGGGTGCTTGTGCACGGCGGCCTCGGCGTCCAAGATGAGCGCAGGACATTTGCCGTGGTCGTGGAATACTCGTCCATCGACAATGAGCTTGTTGCTCAAGTTTTCGGCGGTATCAGCACCCCAGGGCCGTGGACGGCGATGTCGTACGTCATGTCTGCAGTGAGCTTGATGCTTGTGGATTTTCCAGGACTGCGCTGGAAAGGCTCTCTGAAGTGTCCTCAGCATGGTGACGGAATGCTTTTTGTTAACAAGGTCAGTCCTCCACACGCATATCGTCTGTGGACCAATGAATGTCCGAGCAGCTTACACTTCTAGGCGCTCGAATCGCGCGGTTCTGGGAACAGTCGACCCCGTGTGGGAATTGTCGTTGTCTATTTCGTCCAATCGACAATGGCATATCGTGTTCATGTTCCAGTATCGTACACATGTATGAATACAGTGGGAGGACATTTGCTTCTCCTTAACGATGTTGCCATGGGAATCCCATTAGGTGTGACGGTCTCGAGAATTGGGAGCAGAGCAGTTAGTGTCAACGTACCGCGAGACATGAGCTGGTGTCAAATCGCACGGGTTCTGTATTGTCAGGCTCTTGCTCTGCTGGTGGTGTTGTAGCGGGAATCTTTGCTACCTGAATGACTTCGGAAACGTGATGCATCCAAGAAGCACGTGACTGCGTAAAAATGACTCTAAATTTCACCGTTTACTGGTTTTGGGTGACTGTGTACTCGTGCACGTGCCAAAGGCAGTGTTTGACGTATTAGACTTGCGTGATTCTGTTGCTGCCCGATGGGTTTATCGGCGTTCCATCATTTTGCAAGGCATCAAGGTGTTTGAGACGATACTCAGGTCGCGAGCTTCATTTGTCGCGCTTACAACGGTCAAGGTGTTGCATCCCACTTGTCAGGCGACAAGACATGGAGACAAAGTTCTGGAAGGCAGCAGGTGCCCAAAATGCAGTGCCGATACCGGAGGGCTCGGGGCCGCGGCTACCGATCTCTTGCGTGTAGTGGACATCCGACTGGACCGAGGTGTGCACGACCAATGTCGAGGTTGGAGTACCGTACAAGTGCGAGAGTGCCACAGGAGTTCGATTTGCGTTTCTTCATGCGCGTGATGTCTGCCACTTGTGCGATCGCAGCGACGCCAACGGAATGTTATATTAATTCGCATGGTTTTGCTAGTTTCAGGCGCACCCCTCTGCAAGAGCTCGGATTTGCCAAAGTGAATGAGATCGCATCAGATATCCGTCTTTTGTTTCTATCCCCCGCAATATCCTTGCCCCCCGCGATACTAATCAAAATCGCACTGAGCGAAGCTTTACCAAATATCTATATTCTTCTGTACCAGACCTTTGAGCGTTCCCACATTGCAATCGAGCACACGCAACACACAAACCACCCCCGCACAGAACTACACCTCGGTAGAGTCGTGCTACGAGTGACGAATAGCGTGGTAGACTGAGAACTTGCTGGTGGCGATGTACGAGGAACAACGATCGACCGGATCTCTGTTGAAGTTGATCGCGAAGCTCACGGCCGATAGGCTACTTTGGGTGGTTTTGTTGACATCTTCGTAATCCCGTCCGTCAACGCCGACCCTTGGTGAATCCGATTTACTACGGAGTATAAGTTTTTCATACCCCCTTTTCCCCCAATCCTGTTCGATTGCTTCCACCTGTACATTGACTCTTACGTTTTCGGCAATGGTTGGCTACATGTGCCTTCGCCGAATGCCGTGGCAGTTTGTCGTCGTCGATCCGTGAGTCCAGCAGTTCTACTGATAGATTGCACAGAGTGTTAGCGGCACGAGATTGTAGTTCTGTTGCGTTGTCTGCGCCTTGGCGGGGTCGTCGTCGAGGCTGACTCTGGCATCGTTGTTTTGCAATATTGGCAACACGGAGGATGTAACTCGATGTCTCCGGCCCATTCAAGTGTCGATCGTTGTCGTCACCCTCTAAGGCCACCCATGGGGACATACTGATCGCGAGAATTTCGTAGCGAGCAAGAGAATTAGTGTTCCGGCATGCTGACGTACTTAGTCCGCTTTTTTTTGAAATTGCAGACGTGATTTTTAACGAGGTGAAGGCGAGGTTCGACGACCTGGAGAGTCAGTACTGCTTCGCTTCCCCGGCGGTGAGAACGGATTGCACGTCTTCGGTTGTACAGATTGCACTGTTTGTCGGCCGTACTCCGCGTACTTATCGGGACTTGTTTGTGTAGTGTATTAACTTCAGACGGTGAGACAACGCCCGTACCCAGGACGCTGTCGTGCTCGGAAAGCAGGAGGAGAAAGAGAGAGTGGCAGCGCGGCTGCTGCACTCAACAAAGGGGGTCCCGGTGCATCATCACCGTACCCCTACCTAAAAGGTTCTACACCATCTGCGTCACACTTGTACGTATGGCTAATGTATCCAAACCATGTCCGTAGACCCACGAACACCCTCCCTGGTTCTTCACGCAAGTGACTAACCATCAGTGGGGCAACAACACCCCGGATACATCAATAAAAAAACCATACGGTGGTGGAGGGGAAACCCGGCCCCCGGGCAAAACCCCTCCAAAGAAAACCCCATCCAACACAAAAACCATTGCTATCACGGCGGATGTACAACGGCCGCACTTATCAGAAAGACCAAGGCGAAGACAAGATCGCAAGGAACTACGTTCCCCCGGACGATGGCCTCCCAACGCCCCCTACTCCTGCCATGGGTACACAGACCGCGACAGTAATGCGACTTTCCCGCATGGTAAACATGGCCCTTCCCAAGTGCTAAAAACTGCTAGCTACTCCGGCAAATTCATCAACTTGCGCCGGTGGTACTGCAGACTGCTCTTGCTAAGAGCCTTGGTAAGCATGTCGGCATGCTGCTCCGACGTCGACACAAACTTGATCGAGATGTCCCCCGACCTGAACAATCCACGAATGAAGTGGTACCTCACGTCGATGTGCTTGCTACGCGCTGAGCTGAGGGGGTTCTGCACCAAAGCCATAGCCCCCTGATTGTCCTCAAGGACCTGAATGCTGCTGCCACTGGTCTCTGGGGCAATAAACGAAAGCACTGCACGCACAAACAAAGCTTCCTTCACACCCTCCCCGGCAGCAATGTACTCTGCCTCCGTAGACGACAAAGATACGATAGCTTGCGTCTTGCTACCGTGGCTGATGACGGTCCCTCCAACCGTTGTTGCCAGCCCTGACACCGAACGCCTATCCTCAGCGTCGGCGTAGCTAGCGTCCACGTACACCGCCAGCCCCAACCCCGATCCCCGTTCGTAGGTGATCCCGAGGTCCCTCGTCTCTTTGAGGTAGGCGAGGATCTTCACGATCGCCTTCCAGTGCCTCTCGGCAGGGGCATGGGCATGGCGCGCTACCGCACGCACGGCGAACGAGATGTCCGGGCGCGAGAACGTCGACACCCACATCATGCTGCCGATGGCCTCCCTCACCGGCCATTCCCCTCCACTCTCGTCATCCCGCTTCGGTCCTATATCGACACCAGGGGAAGCAGGGATGGAGGAGGTCGACTGCACATCAAAGCGATTCACGATGCTGTCAATGTACGCGGTTTGGGAGATTCTAAGGGTCCCAGCCTCTAGGTCTCTCTCGACGGCACACCCGTCGAACCACACGCACTCTCCAAGGTCTTTGGTGGGGAATGCCTTGTTGAGGGAAGCAAGCAACTCCTTGCAATCATCATCAGACCCAGCCACCAAAATGTCATCCACATAAATCACGATAATCATCACCACGACATCGTCTTTCATCTTGCGGAAGACGCACGGGTCAGCCTTGCACTGCTCGAACCCGTTTTCTACAAGAGTATCGGCAGCGTGGTACCCCCACTGCCTGCCGCTCTGCTTCAAGCCGTAAATAGCACGCTCAGCCTTCACAACTTTGTGGGATTTTTCCCCGCACCCCGCGGGGAGCCTCAGAAACACATCCTCGTCCAACTTAGCGTGTGTAAACGCCTGCTTGACATCCCAGTGGTTGAGTTTCAGCGATTTCTCGTTGGCTACCGCAAGCATCAGTTTAATGGATGCGGATGATGGGCAAGGGGAGGATGAGTGGAAGTAGTCCACGTTCGGGATTTGCGAAAACCCCCTAGCGACCAGACGCGCTTTGAACTTCTCAATTTTTCCGTCCTTGTTTGTCTTCCAAGTGAAGCGCCACTTCGAGCTCACGGGTCTACGCCCCTCTGGCGTACCGTCTACGAATGAAAACGTTCCCGTGCCCAAGTGCCCATCAAACTCTTCCCTCATGGCCTGTTCCCATCCCTCTCTGTACACAGACTTGTTAACGCCGGCTACGGTCATGGGGGGGGATTCGACGTCACTCGGACGCTTGCCTATGGGGGATTCTGTACTCAGCTCGGTCGACGCCAGGGCCCTCGCGAAGGCGTCTGGAGAGTTGAGCACGAGGTCCTCCGCTCCCAGCAGGAAGTCCTCTGCCTCTTGGCGCGCGATGTTGGCCTCCTCCGCGCGCTCGCACAGCAGCGCTTGCACCGCCCTCGCCTCTAGCTTTTCCACCACGTCGACCACACACGCGATCATCCAGTGGGTGTGCTCCGTCGTGCTGTTGATGGGCAGGATGGGCAGCCCCGCCTCCGACGCATGGCGGGCGAGCAGGCCTTCGGCACTCGTTGGCGACGGCGACGACTCGTACCTCATGTTCCGGCGAGGGTTCTCCCTGAGTCGGCGGCTGGTGAGCTCCGCCGGCTCGCCAAAGCGGGCGAGCTTCCGTCCCTCGGGCCCGCGGAGGGCCGGGATGTCCGTGTCGCTGCCGCTGTCACTGCCGCTACCGCTGCTGTTGCTGCTGCTGCTGCTGCTGCTGCTGCTGCTGCTGCTGCCGCCACCGCGGCTGCTGCTGCTGCGACGGTCGTCCTCGCCGCCGCCCACATCGGCCATCCCGGTCGACGTGGTAGATGGGGCGACGCTCGCGCCCTCCCTGCTCGAGGGGGCGCCATCGCCAGCGTCGCCCGCGCCCGACTCCTGGGGCGCGGCCGGCGGCGCCGCCGGCGCATCACGCGCGGGCGGCTCCGCGGGCCCCGGGTTTGCCGTCGTGTCAAGGTGGAAACCTCCATCCTCAGGTTCTCCCTCCGCCCTCCCTCCACCGTGGCATGACGCACCCTCCCCGCCCTCGTGCTCCCCAGTCGTGAGCTCCTCGTCCTCCTCTGCAATGGGAGGCAGCGGCTGGGGGTGCGCGGTCGGGGCGGCGGGCACAGATTGCCAGGTGAAGTTGCGAGTTGTGATCGCTTGGCGTTTTTCGTTCAGGATGCGCACGCAATCACGGTTTGTGTTGATTCCAGGGCCGAGGTAAAAACACTTTTTTGCTTTCGGCTCTGACTTGTGCGTGCGCTTGACCTTGTATACGGCGGGTTTGAGGAACGGGTACGTCGCCTCTGGGGGAGGTGGGTGCCCGTGCCACATTTCGTACGGCGATTTCTTGTCCGGGTTGGATGTGGTGGAGGTGCAGTTAAGGGCGTTGCATGCCCAAGCTGTAGCTTCGGCCCAAAGGGAGGGGTAGCTCGGCGCTTCGGGGTAAAGAATCGGCGCTTGTATGCGCGCGGCTAGTGCTGCATCCTTGATCAGTCCCAGTGCTCTCTCAGCTACACCGTTGTATTCTGGGCTGTATGCGGGGGTGAACTCCTGCTTGATGCAGTACTTGCGGCACAGCTTTCCGAACTCTCCCTCGAAAAACTCTCCTCCGTTGTCAGACCGCACGACCATGACCTCGGATGGGGCTCCGTCTGCCCGGTTTTCCGCTAGGTATCTCTCGAATGCTTCTGCAGCGTCTGACTTGTTTTTCAAGAAGTAGACGCGGTTCCACCTCGTGCAGTCATCCCTTACAATGAGAGTGTACCACTTCCCCCCCAAGCTCTGCACCCTTGCCCTCCCACTCAAATCCACAAAAACTCTCTGCAGCTTCTTAACTGCACGGGTGGACGTCCTGTTGGGGATGGGCTTGGATAGCCCCTTTGCCGTCGAGCACCCCATGCACTCCCGGAGCTGGCCCACCAGCGTCACCCCTTGCTGCTTCGCCGTGTTCTTCAGCAGCACCTCGTGGGAGTGGCCGTGCGCGCAGTGGAAGTCGTTGATGTCAACGGGGGTGCGGTTCGCTTTCGCGTTACCAGGAGCAATTATGGCACAGGCTAGTTCCCTACCCGAGTCTATGCGGTGACCAGTCTGAACGAACAGGTCCCCCCATAGAGGGAAGTACACCGACTCCCCCCCACCAACGAACACCTCCAACTCACGCTCGTCTGCGGCTAAGCGGCCCTTGGTTTGCTTCAAAAGGGCTGTGAGGGACACGAGGTTGTAATTCAGCTCCGGCACATGAGCGACCCGTTTCAACAGCAGGTCTGTGGTCCCAACGCGAGAACCGATGGTCACCCTCACGTCGCCGTAGCCTACTATGGCGAAGGCTTGCTTCCCTGCGGCGACACTCAAACGTCGATCGCACTCATGGTAGTTTTCGAACGCGTTAGCGCTCGGGAACATGTGGTTGGTTGCGCCGGTATCGGCCACAAACCTTTCCTGCCTGGCCTGCTCTACACCCCCTCGATCAACGACTCTGTTCCACTCGCCTGTGAAGTCACGGACCACTAGCGCCTCCTCTGCCACGTCCAGTGCGGTGGCGTCCAAGACCGGCAGCTCCACCGCGAGCACCGCCTGCTCGGACGAGCACTTGCTCTTGTCGTGTCCGTAGCCCAGGCATTTCTCGCATCGCAGGGGCTCCGGCTTGGTACAGGCGGCCGCCTGGTGACCCTTCTCTCCGCACCGGAAGCAGCGGCCGTGCATGCTACCTGCACCGCCGCCGCCTCCGCCGCTGTTGCCACCACCACCGCCCTTGCGACCACCCCCTTTCCCCTTCTGGCTGCCACCGCCGCCGCCGCCCTTGCTGTGGCCGCCGCTGCTGCGGCCGGGCGCTCCGCCCCTGTTGCCACCGTCGCTCGCGAGGAAAGCATGCTCCGCCTTCCGCTGGCCCTTCGTGGCCCTCCTCCCCTCCGGGAGGCTCGCGTGCACGGTACTGACGACCCTGATTATCTCGCCCCGGTCCAGAGTTGTAGCCGTCTCCAACAAGAATTTGGCTTGTTGGTACTCGGGTGGAAGGGCATCGACAAAGTGTGCGAGAACAAAGGGTGTGTCAGCGTTGAGCCCTTTTTCCCGCAGTCGTGAGTACAGCAGCTCGAGCGTGTATAGATGCTCGACAGGGTTGCTGTTGCTGTGTGCGGGGATCGTGAATCGAAACATCTTCTTCATGAGGGCTTGTTTCGAGCCCTGCGACTCCGGGTTGTGTACTTTGTCGAGTTCCGCAAGAATTTCCTTTGCGGTCTCGCATTTGTTCACGATTGCCTTGTCGGCTTCTCGGACGATGGCTGTAGTCACAAAGTGGAACGCCTGGAGGCCCCTCTGAACCTCATCACTTGTGTAGCCCAAGCTATACAGCTCCGAGCTAGGCCTGTTTGGGTCACCGACGGGTGCGTGCTTCTCGGCGTTGCCGATAAGCTGCCCGTCCAAGCCTACGGTTTTCGCGGCTTGAATAAGGGCCTTTCTCCACGAGTCGTACCCGTGGCCGCGACTCTCCCCTTCGAGACGCGGTGCATTGACCGTAACACGTTTTTGGCTACTACTGCTGTACCCATCGAAAAATGCTCCGGCCCCTCGAATTGCGGTTTGCTCACCTTGGGGGCTTAACCCCCTCGCTTCCCCGCGGTCCGGTCCTACGCCCGGGCTCATTCCGGCTGGCCCCACAGGATTCGCTCCCGATCTACTTGCCCAGCCAGTCGTCACTCTCGCTGGAACCCCAGGACTCGCTCCCGGTATGTTGTCCCAGCTGCTTTCCCGCGGGTGATTTCGCCCATCACGGGCCGTTTCCCGGGAAAATGCCCCGCCGCCCCCAGGCGGCAGAGCCTCTCTCTGGCTTGGGACGGCAGCACCGCTGCCCCTACTGGCATCGCCCGCCACGGCGTCACCAGGCTCCTTCCTCTTCAACTCCATCACTACGCTCATCAGTTGCGATAACTGGCCCTCCAGCCTCGCAATCGCCGGATCCTCGGCGTGTTGCTGTTGCGTGGCTGAGGTCTCTTCCCCCAGCCCTGCGACGGAACCGCTGTCCGACGCAGACATGACCCGATGCGGCTATCCCTCGAGGGACAATCAACTCTAGAGTGTTTGTCGGCCGTACTCCGCGTACTTATCGGGACTTGTTTGTGTAGTGTATTAACTTCAGACGGTGAGACAACGCCCGTACCCAGGACGCTGTCGTGCTCGGAAAGCAGGAGGAGAAAGAGAGAGTGGCAGCGCGGCTGCTGCACTCAACAAAGGGGGTCCCGGTGCATCATCACCGTACCCCTACCTAAAAGGTTCTACACCATCTGCGTCACACTTGTACGTATGGCTAATGTATCCAAACCATGTCCGTAGACCCACGAACATGCACAACCGAAGTAATCGGAGTGATTTGGTGGCGTCAATGTATAATCCGGAATGATCCGATGAAGAGAAGCCGACATCAGGTTTTGAGTTCTTCCATCGACAATCTGTGCCCATTGTGGACCAAAGCGGACGAACCCGCTAGCATTTAGCTCTAGCCTATTTCGTTGACCTTTCGGCGATTCGGTTTATCGTCGGGTGGTGACATGATTGACGCCGCTGGTCGTAACGTGCGACGATTCATATTGTGATTCTTAGGAGTATCGAGCGGGTAGAATACGTCCGGGCATAAATGATATCCTTTGGATATTCTACAGTGTTGATTCCTCTCGAAGCCCACCCACCTGTCACCCTCCCCGGGCATTGTCCGCTGATGGCAGGTTCCGCAATCCGGCTTGTTCTGCGGCTTGTGTCGTCAGTAGCTTGGTCTTGTGTGTGGTAGAGAGAAGAATCGGAGGCACCATGTTGATGGCTGGCGTGTTCCTTTGCTCCTCGCTCACCGCCTCGTCTGCTGGGCGAGTGTACACCACCATCACGTTCCAATAGTATGGGTAATAGTGGCAGAAAAATTTCACTTCTGTGACATCCATCAATACCCCTTCGTTGGGAAAGGGTGCGCTGAAGGCATATGCTGACATCGCCTATTCCACATTGCAATCATCTGGCCCTCCTGCCTGGCTCATGGTGTCTCCGCAACGTCTGTGAGCCAGGATTGCGGTTCTTTTTCGTCGTGGCACACGTTTGTTTTAGCGTTGTGCAGTGCCGCTGAGTGCGGTCGTCCTGCCCCTGCGGTCGCGTCGTGATTGTACAAAGCAGGATCCCTTCAGGAAGGAGGGCGAGTTGATTCGAAAAATTGTGGCCACAGCTGTGAAGGGGGGATTCGCTGAGGTGGAAGAGGAGATCAACAGCTTTAAGGGCGAGATTAAGGGAGTAATCAACGAGGTGAAGGTTGAGGTCGAGGGAGGGTTCGACGACACCAAGACCGAGTTGCGTGACGTGAAGGACGAGGTGGAGGGGGGATTTGGCGACACCGTGACCGGATTGCGTGACGTGCAGCAGGAGGTGAAGGACGGGTTCGACACGATGCAGGGAAGCCTGGACAAGGTGCTAGAGAGCACCCAGGAAAGCCTCGTGCGCCTGAAGGACTTGCAGGCCCCGAACTACCGTTACCCTCGTCTTGTGGTCGTCAAGCAGGCTGGAATTAGTGGCAGATCTTCGAAGGTCACTGGGTGGAAGAGGTTTCTTCCGAGCAATCTTCGTGGCTTGGCGAAGAAGGACATGACACTTCATTTCTTGTGCCCGGTCGACATGACGAAGAGGTGCCGTGCGGCTATGGTGGTGAAGGCTACCGACTTCATGAGACGCGTGGCTGGGTGAAGAAAATATCGCCTGTGCTTCAGGTATGACAAGGACATTTGGAAGAGGCCGGTCGGAGTCGGTAACGCTGTTTCAGGTGCGGTTCAACAGAGAGGTTCTACGGTTCCTGATACTCTCCTATTTTGAGAAGGAAGTCGCATTCCGAATGAGCAATTTCCCTACGCATTACGTGCTGCACGTCAAGTCTTTGACTATCAAGACTCTGTTTCCTGGCGTAATCCTATTGAAGCGTAAGTGACGAGGAGCTTTGGTGGATGCTTTGTTGTCCTCTTGGTCGTGCCGTCTCTTCCTTTAGGTGGCCGTGGTGACCGCGAAGGTGGCGCTGAAAGCGACGACAGGGCTGAAAGTGGATATCTCGGATTTCCTGAAGGACGTGAAAGATGGATTGGTCGAAGAACTTGTCGACCGCACTCTCGACGAGGACGCGCTGCTTCGTGCTGTTTTGGGTGAGGACAGCATCGGCGCAGATATGCAAAGGGATACGAGGGCCTCGAATGAAGCGCTGAAAGTTTTCATGGAAAACGAGGGACACAGCAGGCCGCGATGGTGATGGCTACATAGACTTCAGGGAGGAGATGAAGCGTCTTACCAACGGAAGGGGCGGGATGGTGTGGGTTCGGAACGACAACGTTCAAAAGTGGTTGGATTTGCATGCGACTGCCGCTCCAACTCGCTAGACGTCGGTCTCGTTAGATGCAGCGCATGCACATGAAACCACCCTAACCGCGGACGTTGTAGTGCCCACTGGGTACAGACTGGATATCACCGCGAGCGAATGTTTCGGCTCGGGGAGAACGAGCGCAACTCGTCGTTCTGCGTTCGGTGTCTGACCGTCAAGTTCCCGAAACACCGGACCTTGGTAGAGGGAGTGGTTGTCCAGTGTCCCGAGAATCCACGGTAGCTTGCGTGATACGGCGGGAGTTCTTCGCACATACGGGGGTGTTCTTGCAGGCTATGGTG